ACCCTCGAACTCAAATCAACAGTAGTCGCATAAATGACAAGAGGCTACTTCCGCGACTGCGGGTAGCCAATGCCACTATCGCAGCCACTACCTCCAAGTTCGAACACGCTCTAGAAGAGTGTGGATTCACAGTCAGCCGGAGAACGAACAAAAGTAGAAGACTTGGGAAAATAGGCAAAAGCGGGGTCACCCCTCACACCAAATAAGTTCGTTGGCTGATGTCGGCCTCTAGAGCAAGCAATAACGATACAGTTTTCAACCATCACAAAAAACAGTGCTCCTCCAAACATCCAAGCAAGAAAGATGGAGCTTCTTGCTCTACCTATGCCTTCATTTCGAGGAGATATGGAAATAGAACAACCTGTGGGAACTCCAACCCAATGTCCATTCACAAATATCAGAGCAGTACAAATTCAACTCATCTTTGAGCTTTGGAAGATAAAGATCGCGAATTACTTAGGAAATTCCAGATCGCAAGCGAAATTTTATTTGAAAATAGTTGACTCTTCCCTCCACAAGCAGAAAATCGAAAGGAACTCATACAACGTAAAAGTTTCGAGAAATGCTCTGCAAAAACGATTTTTCTTGAAGATCAGGGACCTCTTCTCAAAGCACGCAATCATCACTCCTGGAACATGAGGGAGAAGAAATGATAGTCAATGGAAAGGAAAGCAAGTTTTCAATTTTTAATCTACCCGGCATACGGAGCTCTGGAGAATCAAACACCATCTAGTATGCAGGATCTTCGAAGACTCACTGATGGAGTTATAGCATGCGATGAGATAATATCTTCGCACATAAGTACGGAATATCGATAAGCAAAGAAGTCCACTGAGTAGAAAATTCAAAAAGGAACGGCATCTTTAGTCAAGGCAAATAGATCTATAACACTTTGCAGCTGCTGTTCAAGGCGTGCACTTTAACTCCCGATTTGGAGGGGGGAGGGGGCATGAGTAACGAATAATTCTAGGCTTTATGCTTTCACAAGTCTTATGGGAAGGAACAAGGGGTAATCTGATACAGCAACATTATAGCATCAGTAGTACAGTGTCTAATAGTTTATTAGTCTGCAGTACTAATACTGGTGCACTTTGGTGGCGGACCGAGGGGAGCCCCCATCCCGGAAAATGGGCCGCATATTGAAAGGCTCAACTTCGCAGTGGCTCGCACACGAAAGTGCTGGTTTGTTTCGTTAATGAATGATTTTCAACGCTTGTGACGTTGTGCTGCTATCATGTCATGACGATCAGAATGATATGCAATGTTGCAGGGTTTCGTGAAGACCCCGCAGAGATACGACTAAAGCCAAGTGCCCCGTCGGCTCTGAACATTCTTCTCTGCTCGTCTGCGTCTTCGCGCGTTGCGCGCTATCTAGCTAACCCAATGCGGGGAACGTGGCATTTGGCTTTGGACCTTTTTCTTCGTTGTTCTGAAACCAATTTTTGCAAAATGAATATCATAGTGAAGCTCTTAATCGTCACTTTTATGCTGACAACGTCCCAAAACCGCATTTCTCAATTTGAGCAAGAAATCTGGCAAAAGCCATGTTTTGAAAATGCACGTCAGGAGGTACGCCGCGGCGGCGACCGCTTCGCCGCGCAGCCGCGTCCTGATCTTGGGACCCACAGAGCTCCCCATATCAAAGACTCCCGGCGGCAAAAACACGGGGGTGGTGATGGAGGCAGGTACATGACTCAATGCCATAAGTAACATTGCGCCTGGAGTGCTGCTGTTGTATTGGTTGAAGTACGTTGCGGCGTCGCTTCGCGAAAAATTCGCGCCGATCGTACCTCCTGACCGTCCCCCTAAAAATCTCTCGTTTTTTCTCTAGTTGAAATTTTTCACGCGGTTTTCTCGTGTATTCGGTGTATCAAGGCTTTCTATAATTTAGACAATGTACCGCCAACGCTTATTCGTTAAGAACGATACTTTGCGAAAAATCGTAAAAAGTGCGTTTTTCTTTGACTTGTCCTCTTTCAATGTTTTCGCAGCGTTTCCCAACTCGGGCGATTATTGCTCAGAATAGTGAGCGCAACAGTGGGAACGACAACGCAGGGGTAAAAATTCGAAGGACCTATCAAAAACCAGTTTGGCTTTGATTTGCATTACGACTTACAGAAACGAAATTTTGCGTCTTTTTACATTCTTTTCTTGTTCATTTTCTTGTTGATAATCACCACTTCCAAAACATAATTGTTTTCAAAATAATCACAAGGAAGAGATTAGCTTTTCCTTCCCCACCTTGCTTGGTTCTAAAGCGAAAACCTGCATTCGAGCCGCCAAATAAAAGATTTCAGACTTATCGCAGGCTACCTCATTTTCGAAAGTTTCTTTTCTTTTCCTATTTGTTTTGCAGATTATGCTCTTCTCTGATATTCTACAAACAATCTTCACTTTTTATGGGGGGCACTTCCTGTCTCTACACTATTGAAGGTATGGTTATCTTAGTCTTGCAAATTCCATCAGTCATTCTCGTTCTATAAGAACATTTAGGATCATTGATGGGAAATTTCTCTTTGATTGATAGTTTCATATATAAAGCTGTATGTCTGTTTATCTATGTGTGTATCAATTCTGAACAATCCCGACCAAACTTTGCAGACATACTCTCCAGGCAGGGCTGGTGTCGTAGGCTACATTTCGTTATCCTACGGGGACTGAGAGTTGGCACAGGAGCGTGAGTGACATGCTGATCACTACGTAATATATTTTGGATTCGTTGTTTACCCATTAAGCCACCAGGTCCGTGGAACACGCAAACGAGGAGGCCGCAGACGGAGAAATTATGATGAAATACATTGATCTTTGGATTTGGATTGCTACCAAGTGGCATGCGTTTTGGAACGCTGTCAGATTTCATAACAAGTGACCAAGCATATTTTCGTAAAAGGGTCACACGTATTTCGAAAGGCAGCTTGAGTATCGCAATGATTTTGAGAATGGGTCGCCATGTCCGGGTGTGTTATTTGTAGCTGCTTTTTTCTCGAGCTTGTTATCCCAGAATGTGTCTTTCAAATATGTTGTACTCTTATTAGTTCTTTTTGAAATGATGCCAAATTGCGTAACAGCGTGACTTGAGCTAAATTCATCTAAGTTCCCAACTCTTGGTAAGAATGCTCTAACTAATTGTAAGAACAGTCATTTTAGGATTGTCTTGCTTCCACGTGTAGACGAGAGAGTGCGTAAGTAACTTAGTCTCGCTGATACTTTTGGAAGCGTTTATCTCAGACATTTGCAGTTGTCCCGCCGGAGATCCGCCCACAAAATGAGAATTCGCGAGAAAAGCGGGAGTCTTGCGCGACTCCCGGTTTTGTCCCGACTTTCGGGACAATCCCGACAGTTAAAAAGTGGCGGGAGATTACCGGGAGTCGCAATCATCGATTCTGACGCTATTGCGCGTCAGTATCGATTCATTCCTATTTCCACACAGGCTGTTTTTCCTCGCACACGACGGATTTTCTCGATTTCACACTTTTTTACTCTTTGACTGACTTGTATGATCCAGATCCAGATATATCGTGCCCTCCACAAATGCTGCTACCCCTTGGTGTGCTCTCATACCAGCCATGTGTGGTAACATGTTGGCAACGCGGCAAAAACATGTTTGCAACATGCCACAACATGTTGACAGAACATCGTAGCCACGCCAACATGTTGTGACATGTTGCACCGCAGCAGCACCGCTTCCGCAGCAATTTTTCCATTTACGCTCTTGCCGTCGTCGGAGGTGGTTGTGTTCGCAACTTCTGATTAGATACCTCTAACGTTATTTTCAGCCGTCGTGATGCCGAGTGTGCTATGGATCGAGCTGACGGACGTTGGGTTGAAGGTCGTGAAAGTAGGTATTCTGAATCAATTACATGTAGATCATGTACGGCGCTCTTTAAGTCCAAGTTAAACATGAGCTTCTAGCTGCGATTAACGCGATAAAGAGTCTTGCTTTACGTAAAAAAAATACGCGCTCTGTACTGCACTTATTGATGTTTTTCAACTTGTAGTAGACTGCACATAGCTGAAGTAAGCTAGAACATGCGTAGTAAATATGATACTCCTAAATTTCGCAACGGGTATAAACTGGAGTTACTTTGCTAGTGTCATGTCATTAGATAGCAACATTAGCATGCTTAAACACCAGTGAGGCTTCACTCAATAGCGCCCAAAAGCGCAAAAATTTTTTTTCTCTCCACACTTTTCATTTCTCTCACACGTTCCGCGCGCTTGAAAGCGCCAGCACGCTCTCTTGACACGCAAGTGCTACCGCGGGACGATGTCAGGGGAGCGTATTGACGCTTTTAGGCTAGCGCCGAACGCATGAGATCAGAGACGAGGAATGTGAAGAGAGTCAAGCACATTTAAGCTCTTTTTGGGCCCTTTTGAGCAAAACGAAGTCTGACGAGTGTCTTGGCTATTGCTAGCTATCTTTCGAAGAACATAACATTTTTCATCATCACATGGAAAACGCCTGTTTTCTTTACGCTTTCCCGTACATATTTATCCACTGCAAGCTGCACATTCTTGGCCTGTTATTGTTTAAGAGAGTAGATGTGAAGAACATTGTTTGCAACATGCCACAACATGTTGACAGAACATTTTAGTCACGCCAACATGTTGTGACATGTTCTACCGTCTTCCTATCCATTGGTCGCCTTGCATGACTCACCCCTCCTTCCAATACCAAATGTTTTTGATGTAAGAGATACATGCAGCTCAATGGTGCTGTCGACGAAAAATGGCTCACAAACGGACACAAAAATTAAGGAGTTACGTTACGTTATTACGTTTTCGGGTTGTTTGTGGCACAAATTTCTAATATGGACAGAAGAACCACCTAAAAAGTTTTTAAAGGCAGTGAACAGCATCAAAGGAAAAAATTCTTTGTCTTTAGTGAAATTAGGAAAACTTGCACGCTAATTCGAAATGAATCTTGAAAATAAGGTAACGGCACACCGATGCGAGGAACCGCTGCGTTTTTTGTCGTTCAGGAACTGCTAGCGACAAAGATGAAAGAAGTGAATGCCATTAATCTGCAGCAAGTCAAGAGTATGCAAAACGCAATCGACTCAATGAGACTATCATCAGACTCAGTCGTGAGGACCCTGACTGGAATCATAAAAGAACAAGGCAATATCATAGCTGGACTAAGTCTGACTGTAAGTAAGGTAGATCCAGAACGGAGGGTGAAATGCAGTTCTTTAGGTAGACACAATTCTCTCCAATCAGCAAGAACATGGCAAGCAATTGCGGAAAGCGTCATATCACATAGCGAAAGGCAACGAAGTTACTTCACTGGCAGGACGTGTATTTGAGCGAAAGAATTTCACGAAGTCCTGGAAATTCAACGGATTTCCTCCATTCAAGGTTACCGTAGTTGTTATCGATACAGCAGCACTTACTTTTGTTTCAGAATGTTAACATGATCGAGTTACTCGAGAACTGGACGCGGCCATCAAGGGCACACAAGAATGACCATTTTTGTTAATGATGGATTTTTATAGGTTCTATTTTTTGCACGTAAGTGAGACTAAAATTTCGAGTCTATCCTGATCGAGAGGGGCGCACTTAGGCATGCCAGCCAAAACAAGAAATCCAAGTTTGCACGCAGAAAATCCGGTAAAAAGGGAAGATTTTCGCATCTGCAGGACCTGCCCGAAAGTCTGGTCACATTTTCGATAAGTGAGTGGTCGATGGTCTTTCTAAAAATTCTAAAATAGATCTTCCAGATTTCGTTCTTGATGGTTGTCCTCTACGCAGAAGAACTGCTGCTGAGTGCTACCGAATGCGGCAAAGAAATAGGTATAGATAGAAGTGTTTCTACCCCTTGATATCTCATTGATTTAGATTGTGGCTGGGCCTAGGGAACGACGATGAGGCTAGGACGAAGACGTTTGACAAGTTGTCGGAGGCGAGGATGAAGCTTAGTGGATTAGCACGAGTGGCTATAGGAAGAGCTTTGTGGGTTTCTTTTAAAGATAGTCTTCATGAATCTATTGAATTTGAAGTTCAGAGGAGATGTGCGCGCCTACAATTTTGATGCTGATAAGGAGAGATGCTGTCGCCACCCTCGGTAATATTCATATATGATTTTTCAAATTAGTGTTAGATTGTTATTTTTTCCAGAAAAAGCGTTTTTGCCCTACTACCACGCAAGATTCTTTGGCGCACGAGCAGGCTAATGAGTCGGAGCATGAGCAAAACGAAGAGATCGAAAATATGAAGTCGATTTGAATTATGAATTCAATCTCACACATTGATCTCGACATTCCTGTTTTTTTTTCTGTTAACTTATAGTTATAGTGATTTCAATGTTCTTTTTCTCTCACGAATGCTAATAAAGAGTGTTTCTGAACTCTGTGTCGAGCACAGCACCTTTGTAAGATGTGTGTAGTACAAATTTTTGAAGGAGAACCAATTTTAGAAAAAGCCCAGCCGGAAGCTGATCGGATCGCTGCTATATCGCGCCTCCCGCAGGAGACTGCAGTCTAGAGCGGGAGTCCTGCCGGTGACCGAATCGCGACATTATCGGGACTCCCGCAGGAGCTCCCGGTTTTCTCAGTAGAAAACATGTCGGGACAAAACCGCGTGTCGCGCCGCATTAGCCCGAACGAAAACCGGGAGTCCCGGTTTTCTCGCGAACCATTTTACTTGTGTCCCGCAGTCATTCCGGCGGGACACAACTTTTTCACCGGCGGAACTTAACCGCGAATGTCTGAGATCTAATAACAGCCTTGCTTTTGCTTGTGTAATGTTCCCGCTGGTGCTTCCAACTAGGTATGGTGCAAGCGGCACGTAGGGCAATTGCATCGGGCAGGGAAACAGATTTTTGTACGTTTGGAGCAGTTTAAACGGTCTCCAAGCGGCACGTAGGGCAACTTGATCGGGCAGGGGAACAGATTTTTGTACGTTTGGGGCAGTTCTTATATTTTTTGAATGGTCTTTAAGCGGCACGTAGGGCAACTCGATCGGGCAGGGAAACAGATTTTTGTACGTTTGGGGCAGTTCTTATATTTTTTGAATGGTCTTAAAAAAGGGAAACGGCCTTTTTGAACCGCTCGCTTTCACGGCGCGCCTCTGATTGGTCAACATGTCCACAAACATTGACAAGGCTATGAGTAGGACGGACCTTCATTTTTCTACATCTTTCGTGTCCAACATGATGACAGGTTTTGGCACAGGTATATTACATGCTCCAAACCAAGAATTTTCCCATTGACTGTGAATGCGACTTGTTAGCTCTGCCAGTGGCGCCGCACGCGGCGAACGGGCATCGCGCGCGAAGGGTTCAAAAGGGCCTGCACCCGTCTTTAAGCGGCACGTAGGGCAACTCGATCGGGCAGGGAAACAGATTTTTGTACGTTTGGGGCGGTTCTTATATTTTTTGAATGGTCTTCAAGCGGCACGTAGAGCAATTTAATTGGACAGAGAAACAAATTTTTGGTACGTTCATGCAATTCTTATAATTGAGGGTCTTTAGGTGGCTCAGTAGTCGTGCTTTTCGGGGAGTGATCTCCTTTTGTAGTAGAACTTCATATTCCTTTGGCGAAAATATTGAAGGATTTTCTGACAAAGTTCTTAGACGATTGATTTCGTTGCTGTCGGAGTTGTTTCCGAGAGAAAAGTGTTTTTTGTAGTACACACAATTGTTATGGGTGTATTTCTACTTCCAAAACCATAGGTGTTCTTCTACTTTCTTAACGATCTTCTATGGAAATTGTTGAGAAGAACAAATTCTCTTTGAGAGGGTAGAAAAGTAGGAGGGGGGGGATTATCTGAATGTCTCTGTGAGGAGGCAAAATTTGCAGAAAGAACGTGGTAAACGAGAGAAAAATAATATTTCCCATGCATGGTTGCAGCAGGAATTTCGAAAAATGCTGAATTATTTGCGGGGATTATTGCTTCTTCGAACATTCCTTTTGTAGAATGCTTTTCGCAAAAATGTTCTCGGAAAGGCATAGGAAAATTATCTAGAAAAATATATAATCACAACTAAGCCCCTATATTGTATCTGCCCCTACCCACTTGCTAGCGACCCTTAGGGTCGCTAGTTACGAATAAAATGTTAGTTTTTTTTTGAAACTAATGACTACTTTTATCGATGTTATCGACTTTTCGTAAGTTTTGAGCTGCGAGACTGGGAGCTGGCACAGCTGGGTAAGTGAGCATGCCGATAATGAATACGGCACCCATATTTAGAACTGACAATGGCTATTGTCGATTTTACCGAAATTTTGCAAGCTTTGACTGAGGATTGGTAATTGAAACTATGATAACCTTTTGTAGGAAAAAACCCACCACTTTTATCGACTTCATCAATTTTTGCAAACACTACACGGAGGGAGGATGCTGATCACGAATAGTGCGGCAGGGACATGGACGTGTTGTGCAGAAGTGAGGAATAGCGATTTAATATACTGGCAGAGTCGGGCGAAGCCGGATATGCCAGTTAATGTCATAAGATGGGCGATCCAAACGTCCAAAAGAATTTTGAAACGTTCAAATAATGTTTTCACTCAGTTGTAATGTTTGCCACTTTTGGTACACGTACCCTAAACTCGCTTTATCAACATGCAACTCATAACAATGATATGACTATTCACACAAAAAACTTATCAGATCCTTCTTATTACAGCAATAATAACTTCTTATTACAGCAATATCAGCAATGTCAAGCATATGTAAGCTAGCTTTGCACATTCATATGATTGAACTTCTATGGTATATCACTATTAGAAAGGCATAAACAATTTCAGAAAGAACAGAATCTCGAGAATCCGCAAGTCATTGTTGACTATATGAGAGACCTCTGAAGAACTACATCCTCTTTTTGATGGTGACGCATTCATTTTTGCATAATTCAGATTAGGTAGTAGGCTACAGATATGCGCGAAATGGAGAACTTTTACACATTCTTCGAAGGCTGGTCAAACTCGAAAATTTAAGGGTCGGGAAATCGAATGAAGCCGTTCTCAGTTTCAATCAAACAAATCAAGTCGAAACTGTACCCAGATTGTTGATAGAGGATTATCTAACGATCAGTATGGTTTCGGCTTGAGGCGTTCAATTTAGACGTGTTCCGACCCTTGAAATTTGAATTTGACCAGCCTTCGAAAAACGCGTAAATTTTCTCCACTTCGCTACCAAAAATCAAGCTGTTTGCGCATATCTGTAACCTACTTACATATTCTACATTATGCCCATGAATGAACATGTCACAATCAAAAAGGGAAAAGATACAAAATTAGGTGCAAAACTCATGTGTCAACCTATTATAAACCTCATTTTCTCCTCAACACAGCTACTTTCTCTTTGAAAACCATTTCCGGATGATAGAACGGGAAAGAAGATGATTTCCTGAACAAACGATTTCTTTGGAGCAACGCGGATAAAGATAAGACCAAGAAGATAGATTTTAACACTTACTTTATAGTAAATCGATGAAAAGCTGGAACAGCAAACATCACTCTATGATGAGTGCTGTAGTTTGTCATGACAATATCCTTGAGGTTCCCAGAGTATGTGCCAATCATCAGAAAATCAAATCTCTCCAAGTCATTCGGGCGCAGAGTCTCGGTCTTGTTGTACCTAAACGTAAAACGACTCCACGCCAGCACAATGGCTGTTCCAATTGCTTTAAGATGTTTTCTTTGAGAAAACTAATTACTAATCATTAACTAACTAATTACTCAATTACTGACTACTATTAATAATTACTAACTAAATTACTCTAAGAATACTAAGTAATAACTAGATCTAGAAAACTAATCAAATACATTGAAAAAAGTGAATTGAGCACTATATTTCAAGAATAAGATTAGTCTACATAAGATCATGAAAAGATAGCTACATACTCCCAAGCATCGTACAGCTGCATAAATCTGCTGACACCAGTCTGTGCACAAGCGTTGTCGATGTAGACAGACATCGGTTTGTTGGCATCCACTCTTTGTGTCCACTGTAAAAACTACCTCTGAAAAATAAAAAAGATTGAATATGTGTGATTAGACCTGTAGGTGAGCGATCGCATCTCCGCCGGGATAATTTCTTGCTCCAGCATAAAGGAAAGCAGCTGTAGCCAGAAGATTGGCTATAAGGTGTAAGCAACATCCGTAGTACAGAGCTCGGCGAGCAAAGGATTTATGGCGATTTACGTACCTAAAAAAGAACAGAGTACCGAAACATTATCAGAGTTAATGCAACATTACTGTCAAAGTAAAAAATTGCCTTTAGCTTTTTACATCACATTTTATAACTCAAACTTAATTTCAACCATAATGAACTGAAGTTTGGCAAAATTTTTTCGAAAAAATCAAGATGAAATAAGTGTGCAACTGATAGATTTGCAAAGTATTTTTGATATGAGATAGTTACTCAGCAGTGGTGGTCGGGGAAATTCGTCAGGGGGACCGACGACTGAGCAAAATTTTGGCTGAAGGGCATGAAGTGAGCCAAATCCTCCAAAAATAATTTTGGGGTGCTTTCCAGTTTTTAGTGAGCCAATGACCGCGTAAATTCTAAAAAACTTTTGTTCAGGTTTAAAAATTATTTCCATCATTTTCAAATAATAAAAGTCACTTGCACAACATATAGGCAACTTCCAATATCTCGTGATTCATTTTAGCATTAAGGTTTTGTAAATGTGGTATCGCAAAAGTATATCAAGTTCAACCGAAAGTCTCGCACCATAAAAGATTTTATTTTGAAAATGCTCGAAAACGTTTCAGTGCACTGCACGTATTATCTCTACATATGATAACTGCTATTCAGTGACTGAAATTTTCGCTCCAAATCAAAGACCAATGATCTTCAAAATCAAGCTAATAAGCACAAATTTTTTTAGCGTGGATAGAAAACTGGTCGTAAAATATATTATTAATTGACATATTTTATTGAATCTCTTGGCCTTGCGACGTCAGAAATTTTTACTGAGTGTTTAAATAGGTTGAATCACCGCGATGCGATAAAGATAATTTGTGCACTAACAGCCACTAAAAAGCGCACAGTTTCTCTTTCACTTTCAAAAAAAAAAATGTAGAATCATATGAACGTTTTGATACTGGGAATGCTCCACATTTTTCAGAAACCAACGCAACCTTTTTTTTCAAAATTTTGTTTTAGGCCCTCTGTATAGGATCAACTTACATTCTGGCACAAAACACAGCAGCTGAGAGATTGATCAACGGGAATGAATACATGATAAACCTGTAACAGGCATCCTGCAAATGCGGCGTCAGCATATCGTCAAAAGTACCTGAGTTCTTTGTGAGGTAGCAAGCTATACGATGAAATGAATATGAGAGCAATCGATATGTATTTCCGAAGCCTTCGATCCAGAAATACTCCAAGAACAGCGAGCGGGAGACTAGCTGCCAGAGCGCGAGGCAAACAAGAGTAGAAGTACCATAAGAATGGTGACACCTGAACAACAGAAGTAAGTAAATTTGCAATTTCGATATCGAACTCCCACGATTTCTAACGGACATACCCCATATTCATGGCTTCTATTTTTCAAAAGATTGAAGACTGCAACCTCAAACTCAGGATAGATAGGTCGACCCCAAAACAGGGAATCAATGGGAATAGTCACGGCTGCAATGATATACAATATTGATATATGCTATTTGACAATTGCAAAGATACCTAGAACCTGAATTGCTGTTCTCGCACCGATGAGAAGTGCTCCGTCCCATCCAAACAGTGGCAGTCGCCCACTCAGAATAACTGGCATGAATATCGGAGCAAATAGTAGCACCAACTCACATCTGATTACTAGTTCTTTGTGTAAAGTAACGACATTAAATTTCACGGAGAAAAACTACCTGAATAGTACGACAGCAGTAGTAGCCCATCGAACAGCGCTTTCGTACCGATTTTCGAGACATCGTTGAAATACCACAAGCACTACAATTACATGGGAAGATCGCTGATCTTTACTCAGGCTTCTTGGAATGTTAATAATTGCGAAAGCTCGCCATTAACTTCTGGTTCAAATAATATGCAGGTGAGACCATTAGTTTGAAAATTTACAAATGCTCTGATTTGTGAGAGCGATCTAAGACTGGCAAATTGAATAGGGTCAAGAACAACGCCGGAATTTTACAAAAAGACAGAACACTGAAAAAAGATAGCCCATTGTTTCCTACAACTATGCACAGCACTAGCCCTATAAACACCGCCTTACGCTGAAGAACGAATTTACATTGCAATAGGTAAAAATCTGTAAACATGGTAGCTGGAATAATCTTGCTAAACTTACCTAAAATGAATGCAAATGAATTTGGAAGTGGTCGAGACGCATAAAAGAGCATGTGGAATTGCGATGCAACGATGACCCTAAATAGAGGCTTTGATTGTATGAAACCTTTAGAAGCCTTGCAGTCACAAATAGAACTTCATTGATTGTTATAGAAGACCATACCTCAAAAACATGGCTGTTTCAGCACCGAAATGCTTCCGAACAGCTCTAGCGAAGTTCAGGAAAGCGAGCACATTTGTCATTCCGAGGACAAAACGCACTGAAACATATTTTCAAAAAAAAAACAACAACAAAAAAACTGATACAACTTTTTCCTACCAATAAAAAGCATCCAAAATTTCGGTGTGTCCAAAAGATGAAAGATGAAACGCATGGGTAGACCAAACAGAGCCAGATATATTGGTCCTGCAAATGTCCTCGGTACCACACCAGGGAATTCGTTGTGATCATACTGAAAGAGACTTTACATGAAAAATGAGAATAATGGCGATAATCAGATAACTCACAGCTGAGATGTTATAGGTGTGGTAGATCAGATCATGTGTGGCTTGTACATTGAAACTTTCCTCTACCTTGGTGCCCGGAGCCATCAACAGATGTATGAGCATGGCTATCACCACCATCCACTCAGATCCTTCGATGTTATCCATCGTTATGCTTTTGCTGCCAGAAAATGTCTTTCCCTACAGAAAAGAAAGAATTCAACGGTAATGCAGATTGTAGGAAAATTTTTTTGGAAATACTAGAAGTTAATTGTGTATATGCCAGACGGGTGACATGAAACAATTGTCTATACTAGTCGTGATAACACATCTGGACATAAGACTATTGTAGAAACAAATACGTTTAATCCCGCAGCAATCAACTTTGATGAATTACTTTTCACACTGCTAGCGTGACACGCCTTCCGTAAAGGATTCGCCTTACTTCGCCGGCCCGAAAAAGCCCAAAAAAGCCAAAAAAGCCCAAAAGCGTTAGAACACGCTCAACACACATGCCTTAGCGTTTTGGCGCTAAGGCATGTGTGTTGAGCGCGCAACCAAGCCATTTTGCTTCAATTTCTGTCGTCTATACATCAAAATAATGTTGGAATTCTACCAAAAGTTCGAGGAGAGTTCCGACTCTTTCTGGCGCTTTTGGGCTTTTTTGGTCTTTTTCAGGCTTTTTTTTATAGCGCTTTTGGCTTTTTTTGGCGAAGTATGTCAGGCCCCTAAGGATTTCGCGGATCATATACTCAAATCCTCAATTCGCTCCATCCGTGAACGTTCAACAAAATATCAACACCCATCACCAAATGGACGTTATTATAGTCAGGGCTCGGCACGAGGTGGCTTACAGGCAAGCTGGGTATCGTTTTTGGAATGAAAAGCAAAGGGGGTTTGTTTTTGTGACCGAAGACACACGCAAAATTGGCGATTTGGCGACGTTTTTTTTTAGTCGACGTTTCGTTTTTTGGCGGATTTTTAGGGAAAATGGTGGGGGGGGGGGGGGTCAAAGGGGACCTCGTAAAAATACCCAAAAGTCAAGGGGGACTTCGTTTTTCGCATTTTCATCTAGCCACCCACCTCGTGCCGAGCCCTGATTATAGTACATAACAGTGGCGATACGAGAAATTTTTTGGTGGTGGAGGGTAGAGGGCAATATGTCTCTAACTGGAGACGGTGAGAACGCCTTGAGATGCTCTCAAATTTTTGGTGCGCTCCATTTCAGAGAAGAGGTCATAGCCACTACCCAGAATTTTGATATGCAATCGAGTATGTTAGGCGAAAAATCTTAGAACTACAGCTAAGTTATGTTATGAAAAATTTTGTAAAATATTCTGATTATCTACAAGATTTATAACCCTTATAGACTACTTATAAAGTTTTGGGACCTTTGGAAAGTCCAATGTCGTATGAATTTTGGTTTCCTCATCTCAACACGAGCTTGAAACGTTAAAAGCACAACGAATTGCAACTGATTTCAATTTTTCAGATTAAACTGTTACCAGTCTTCCAACGAATGCCTCACAACATACACCGATGTGATTTGTTTGCTATTATTGAAGACATATAGCTTTGAGATGAAGTTTTGCGTAGATGACAGCGGAGGAAATTGAACTTTTCAGTGGTTTCCCATTCAGACATTTCATAGTGGAGTACTTCTAGCCAAGACATATATGCGCTCGAACAGGCTGAGTTGATACAAAGTCCTGAACAGCCGCGGCCGCGCGTGTATGTAGGTGTATAGTGCACAGTGACGGCAGACAGATATCCAATAACTTATAGGCTGTCGCAATGTGAGTGTCACAGTCCCAGCGGCTCAGGCCCTCGCCCGTTCTCGCATGTCCTCATAGGCGCCGTTCACTTTAAGTGATCTTAGGTATTTGGCAGCATAATAGTAGGACCCACTTTCAACCCAACGCCCAAGTAGCGGCGCAAAATATCGCTTCGGAAGCGAGAAAAACGCTCCGGAATAACGAAGAGGCACGAGGACCCCTGGGTAGCACCGCTCCTCCAGTAATGCCCGCCCACTGGTGCTCGCTCATCAAATCACCGTTCGGTGAAACCGCCGTTACGGGGATTGTCGGGATTTTCACAGATTTTTGACGTCATAGTCGGAATCAGGGACATGAGAAGGCCCGGAACGACAAAAGCATGAAAGTCGAGGATCTGGGTAGAGGTGTCTGCAAATCGCGTTGGCGAAGCAGTTCAGACATTTTTTGCGGCTCCCGGCCACCCGCGCGCGCATGGCCGATGGGCGAAAACCCGTGCCGGGGCTGGCCCTGTTATGCTAGCGCAGGCCAGCAACGGTTCCAGTGTGTGCAGCGACCCTGTCACTCGACCGATCGCGCCAGTCTTATTTCGATGTCTCCTTTGCTTGTTGGGCCGCGCTAGTATAGCAGGGCCACCACTCTAGGGGTGGGCTTCTGCTCGGCTGCACCTGCATGTGCAGTTACCTCCAATGTGGATACAACCCATGGAAATCAAAAATAGTGGGACTTGTTCCTGCATTTACACTGCTGCTTGAACTACACGAGATTATTCAAAACCTCATCAACGGTCAACTTATAAGAAACCTGCAGCCCAAATGCAATACACCTCCAGCAAGCTCCGATGGCATCCCTTTCACTGCGTCGTATCTCAGGCGATGCTTATAAAGTGCACTGTATATGGATAAGCGGGTCGCTGTTAATTTCAGCATGTAAGGGTGTATGGGTGCGCGGGCCGCCAGTAAAATTACAAGTCTTTATAGGCGTGCGGACACCGTCAGCATGGCATCGGCTATGTGCGCGGGTCGCCAGCTCACACCTGTTGGCCGCTGCTGGGCCTGATGCATGTAAGGCTGAGATGCATCATTCATTCTATGACTAGGATACGCGAAACCGCATGGCACACATTGTCTAAACAGGCTTAATCGTGTACTTAGCAGGCTATTACTTGTCATTTATCTCGTCTAGGTTTATTCATTCTTTGAATACACGGAAGAACAGACTCAAACATGTTAAGACAATGTCCGCAATGCGGTCACGCGTCTCCTAAACATAGAATAGATGATAGGTGCCGCGGCTCAACAGCGAAGCTCAGTTGGACGATCAAGTCGCTGCAACAATTGTCCGAGAATATGTCCCAAACTTCCATAGCAGCTCAGAGTTGATATGTGCCCTGAGGGTGCGTCCGCGAATGCGTCACAAGGTCCGAGCGAAGCGGCAGCTTGCTCAAGCCTTCAAAGATGTAACACTCTCAGTGAGATAGCCTACAGACACTGTGGGAACATGGGCTAATCAACTCCTAGACTAGTTCCTTATGATTCTACGCGCACATGCGATGTCTACACGGAAAAGTTTTCTTCGGATAGCGTAACATCGTAACTTTACTTCCTACAAACATGGGTTTTGACTTAATGTACTATATATGCCATGGATTAAGGTGAAAAATAATGATTTAACAATGAAAGAAAGAAATTTCGTTTTGTAACTGAAGGTTGAAGCATCGAACAAAGTGGTTGAGCAGTATTTCGAAAACTTTGTAAAAGCATCACGGAAGAAGGGATGTCAAAAGATAGTTCAAAATCACTAGGCTACTTGATTTCTAAAAGTATAAGCACATCAAAACAATCTGATATTATGAAAGATCGCGTTTTATGCGAAATACACTGTAGCCACCAATACATGCAAAAAATAAAACAAAATGCGGAAAGCCATGCGTGATCAACAATGAAATGTAAGTGAATAATTTATCTGAGCTTTGCAATATATAATTTTAAAAAAACACTAAAAAAGTCTCATCTTACAGTCATCAAAAGTTACTGATCCGGACTCCGTGTCCGCTAGAAACAGCATAACAAACAACCTGAATTATGCACGATTTACATCGCATTACGCAGCGTACATGCAATCCTACACTATACTAGATAATGTAATTCAAAAAACCCGTGTGAAAAACAATCACTTTTCAAAGATTATCCCCTTCTCATGACCGCATTTCCTCGAGCAGTTGCTGAAGGCGTTTTGCTTCTTCTTCTGCACTGGTAGCAACATTACGAGCTTGACGTGCCTTCCTCTCGTTTTTCTCAATTACATGAGGCTTTACCTAAAAGAAAATAGCTTTGATGGCTCTGATCATATCGCCGCTGGATGGGCTCAAATTTCTAGAGCTGTGCAGTGACCATGCTTCAGATGTGACACAAAAGTTGTACAAAATAAAAATAGCTGAAAAGTTGGTGGCTTCTCACAAAATGCGATGACACTGACAAAACGCAGATACGTCTACGAGAGATGCATTACAGTTGATAGAACAATCATCATAATGTCTCCTCACCTTTCCGCCATTTCTCTCCTTGGCAACTATGGCTTCATATTTTTCCGCCTTGCCGAAAAACTGCTCACTTCGTTCTTTCGATTTCTTCAGAAGCCTTTCTAAGCGACTAACGAACTCGGCTCGATTTGAATCCTAAGAACGAATATCGCCAATACCTTTTTCATTACTCATTGTGTTACAGAATGTACCTGAATCTTCAAAAATATACGGGCGTTGCTTCCCGGCACAGGACAAGCCAAAAATCCTTCAGGGGTATGACCAGCAGGAACTACTTCCCGAATTTCAAGGTTTGAGAGATCACTGAGAGTAGGTAGAAGACTTGTGAAGTTTGCGGAGAGATCTTCAGATTGGAGTACGCCTGTTCAAAAACTTCATTCTGAAAGGACCAGTAACTGCCAATGAAGAATCACCAGTGAAAGCCATAGATGATGGTAGTTGCAACTGAGATCTAAGAGATCGTATAACCTTAACGATTCGCAGAACCATATCCATGTCAGATTCGAGCTCCTCATTTCGATAGATTTGGAAGAATGATGGCTGAAAAATGTAATATATCAAGAATCAAGATATCCATTGGTAAGTGGAATAAATTATACTGAACAGCTAAAAAGAAAAATTTTATACGCTCTATGAAAAAAGTAACAGAACAAAAGCTAGGAAATTTCTCACCTTGACGAAATCGAAGTATATCGAGCCTGGTTCCCTCCCAAAAGCCTTCTCATACAGATGCTGCGCCACAAAGGGCATGAAAACAGAGAGTTGTACAAGCGTAGGCTGAGCAACTCGGACTAGTATTGTGCGAATTTCGGAAATTCTCCTTAAGTCACCGTTCCACAAGGCACGTTTTGTAGTCTCCTATAAAAATCACTGCATCCTCACCATCTTCACTAACTTCGCCAATCTCACCAGATAAACGTCACATAGAGATGATAGAATGAAATTGTGAAGGACAGCAAAAGCAAGGTGAGGAGCGCGATCCGACATGTGGTTGTCTACTTGAAGTAATGTCCCAGCCAATCGCGAAAGAATCCACTCATCCTAAAAGCCAAAGCATAAAAAACGTTGAATAAAGAAAAACATACAGAAAAACGGATGTGCCAAATAAAACAATCGCATGATAACTGACCGCTGCATTATCAGAGTCAACATCTTTCAGTGTGGGAGAATTCTCGGCAACCCTTTCTAGGTAGGCGACCATATTCCATAATTTATTACAAAAACGAAGACCCTATAAATAACTGGTATATAAAGTGAAATCGAGGAACCCTCACATTCCAGAAGACTACAAATACTCTACGATATATTTGGAAGAAAGTAAATAGTAAAGAGTTGGAACCTCATCGGCGAAGTCAGCTATGTTAAGTGGAACATCCGATGCTAGTAAGTCATGTCTAAGCAAAGCAAAACGAAGCGCATCCGTGCCAGAACGAGGGATACCTTGTGGATAACGGGATGATATGTCAGATGTAGCTGTGGCTATAAAGTTTAAATGATAGTTTGAATCAAAATACCAATTAGTAGCTCACCAATTTCCTCCTGGGATAGTGCACTTTCTCTAATCCTTTCAATCATCTTTTCTTGAGATATTCCAACAATCACGTCAAGAGGATCTATGACATTACCAAAAGATTTACTCATTTTCCTTCCAGATGAATCGCGAATCAGGCCATGCAACAACACATGAGAAAATGGCACTTGCCCACCAGAAAGACTTAACAAGATCAAATGAGATACGAATTCAGATAGATGGCATAATGGGCCACCTCATTGTCATTATGATCATCCTGGCTACCCAGAATCCGAGGATATCCCAGCCGGTCTCCATAACGTCGAGAAGAGGTGCTGATGGATTGAAATCAGGATTTGGCCATCCTGCAGCCACAAGGGGTATTAATGACGAACTAGAAGTTTTCACTGATTCAACAGTCATCTTGAACAAACAGTACTCACCTAAACCAAGTGTCCAGCACGTCTTGATCTTGCGTGATTACAGCATTATCCCCAAAGTGTTTACGTGCATCATCCAGTGAATTTGCAATAAACCACGACGAACTTAAATCAGCAGCCTATCGTGAGCTGGGTGAAAGAGAACAACAACTTACCTAACCGCTTTATAAGCAGGGATTCTATGTCCCCACACAAGCTGGCGGCTAAGGCACCAAGGATCCCTGTTTGCAAACCAATCAAATAACTTTTGCTCTTGTGACTTTGGAGTTATTCTAATCTGAAAATCTTGCGACTAGATAATTATTTGTCTAGATAGAATACAAAGGTAAGATTTGAACAGTGCGTTGCCTTTACTACGATAACAATACCTTGCCTTCTCTCACGGCTTGTTCGGCTTTTTCGTAAAGATCCGCGGTATTCATGAACCACTGTTCCGCGAGGCGAGGTTCCACAATGTCACCTATAAGCACACAGAATTTTTGACGAAGGTCTCAGCAGTTGCGCAACAAAAGAATGACAAAAGAAGTTAGATAGACAACTCAAAAGTAACCGCGAGAAGTGACCACGTCAAAGGCGATGCATATTTTCGGTGAGAGATTTGGTTCGCTCGCCTACCAAGCCCATAGGTTCCAAGAAATATGCAAATTTCTTCCTCTTTACGAAAGCAGCGGTCACCATGAACAAAGACACTGCAAAATTGATAACAACAAAAGCTGACCAGTGCGGCTACATATGGAGATCTGACCAGCGTGTTTCATCGTGCCCACGTACAAACCAAGCGAGCTCAGTTTTTCGATAATCTATAAGAAGGTATGGAAGAAGTTTATGCGGGTACTTGTACTACCCAGACAAACACAACCAACCTTGACGCGAGCATTGAAGCGGTCCAAACCAGCAAATTCAGAAGCTTCGGGACTCAGCCTTCCGTTTTCTTCTATGCAACTTCTCGCATGAGCCGTAGAATCTACAGCGAGGATCTCTTCCCAATGGCGGGATGCTATTTCATAGTCAAGACTGTCGTGCGAGGGAGTAATCTTCAGTACACCTACAAGAAAGTACTGTTGTTCTAAAGTTCCAACTCTTCTTTGAAGCAAACTACCTGTTCCCTTGTCGATCTGAACACTGCTATCAGCGACTATAGGGAGTTTTCGATGAGGAAGAAGCGGATGGCACACCTTGAACGTCTTTCCTCAATATTCTCAAAAAGACATGCACAAACTTACAAGTTTTCCTACGAAACGAGAATACCGTTCGTCTGCAGGGTTTACCGCCAGGGCAACATCTGCGTAGACGGTTTCTGGGCGAGTCGTACCCACTTCGAGAGAACTGAAAGGTGCTCATGAAAACCAAAGGATGGCGTTCTTCGAACAGGAGAAGGTGAGAAGCTTCGTACCACCACAAATTCATCAGATTCAAAATTTCAAAATCTATGGCAGATGAAAATTTCGCAACAAATTTCTTTCAAATTACGAGCTTTCGATTTGTCGCAAATATGACACTATTTTAAACCAAAACATAAAAATGCCTAAAAATCAAAAATCCAAATTCAATCGATCCAGATTCAAAACGAAATAAACTGAGCAACTTCCACATCACTCACATCGAAAAGAAAGACCGACAGAATTTGCAGCTCACCTGTCGCCGCCGTCCAAAGGATACCTAATGCGATACATGGTTCCTACTTCTACATCTCGCTTCCCTCCCTCAGGTGAAGGTACAGATATTTTAGAAGACGACAGCACTTCAAGACGATCAACTTCCTATACAACCAACCTTGGGTAAGCTGTGATAGTAAGGGAATCTTACCTGGTCCGAAAGTGAGCTTCGCAAATACGGACACCAATTCACTACTTTCTTATCGCGATAAATCAAGCCTTCATTATACAAGGTAACGAATGCCTTGGTCACGGCGGCAGAAAATTTCTGAAAACACGTAAAGCAATCAGTACGATGAAGAAACTCAGAAGTGAGACAGCACAACTACTAGCACTAACAAAAACAAGATGAAACCTAAAATTTAGTAGAAAAGAAAAAGATTATTACCTCCAATACTCACCTCGTCTAATGTGTAATAGGAGTTTTTCCAATCAAGTGTAGCGCCCAGCATATCCAACTGGTTCCGCATAGCTAAGGAATTTCTGCAATAGATCCGAAGAAATTGGCTGATCACAGCGAAGAGAAACGGCTTACTCACTTTTCACTCCACTGTATACACAGTTTCATGAAGTCTTCCCTGTTCAATTGGTCTCGTCGAAGACCCTTCTCTTTCCAAAGTTCTCGTTCAACAACAGACTGCGTAGCAATGCCCGCATGATCAAATCCAGGAATCCAATGGGCCTACAAGTCAAAAAATGTTTGCTGGGAGCAAACGAGATGTGAGGAAAAGAAGAGCTGCTTACTGACTACGCCTCCTTTTATCCGGTGATGTCTACACAACGTATCCTCTATTGTTACAGTCATTGCGTGACCGAGATGCAACTTCCCCGTAACATTTGGTGGCGGTAAGACCATACGAAACGTTTTACCTGAAAATAATCTGGCTTAACAGCTAAAATGCGTGCCCACGAAGGTCACCAGAATTTGCATAGTTGGCAGCAGCCCATTCAGTAATCTTCGCGAAATCCTTCGTAACAGCATCCAAATCGAACGCACTGCAAACTTAATTTGGAAGCCATTACAAAAAACAAAATCTAGTAAGGGCAGAGCATAAAAGGGAAAGCAAGTAACCTTTTTGTTCTTGTACATAACCGTCGGAAGCTTTTATAGACTTTTACACGGTGCATCTTCAAACGATTTCATCAGTGCACGTCTCTGAAATTGTTCATACTCTCTTTGCAGACTTTGCATATTCTAGTGCTGGTGACAACAGGCAAACATAAAGATTGTAATACTGTATTACAACAATAAGATAGGCGGAATCGAATAAGAAACACTGAAGTCGTCTTATACAATGTCAAGTACGTAAGGAACCGCAAAAGCGGGTAAGTGCCGCCCTTTGAATGTGGTGCCTCTAAGGCTTGATACATACCTCGCTGCTTAGGTATGGACAAAACCAGCGAGCAGCGAAGGCAGCGCTGCTCCGGCTGATCAGCGCTGCGCTCGGCTGCTTCTTGAGTGCATGTTGGGTGCAGAAACCATCAAAAATAACTGCGCTAATGTCGAGTTTTATTACGTCAAAAAGAAGAGAATTAGCATATTTTAAGTTGGATCTAGTCCATAATTTTATGAGAAGTTCTTCATTTCATTTTTCATCATTAAATTTACAACAGAAAGATAGCTCATACGAGCAAACTCAAAAGAGCAATTCAAGTGTATTCATTCCATTCGACCCTTGATAAGGCAATGGCTGTCCCAGTAGTATGAAAGTGTCCCTCAGGCAACGACATGATTGGAGTCCATTGGAGGCCAAACTTTATCTGATTACGCTGTCAGCTTTTTAAATTATTGCCAATGTGTAGTCAGTATTATTACTTCATTTCTCTTCAAGTTCATGAAGTATGTCCCTCCGGTGCGTCTCAATATTTCCCCATATCCTCTGAAACCCCAATCAAACGGTGTTAGGTTCATTGATGACTTGCTCACGTAATATAAAGACGGACTCTGTTTTCAAAAGGCTAGTTACAGCTTGAAAATTGCTAAAAATAGGTAACTTCGAGCCAAAACAGCTGTTTGCAGCTCACAGCAGCTGAGATACGCTCAGAAAAAGTGAGCGTAACTCAGCTGCAAATCTCGTTGCAGCGCTGATCAGCTTGAGCAGCGCTGCGTAGCCCTGCTCAAAAATGACTCGCTAGGTATGGACACGACCTTCCGTGTTAGCTGCTGCAGCGGGAGGCAGCAGCGTCACTCCGCTGCAATCAATACGCACAAATCGCATTGCTGCCACCGCTACGTATAGACACCCGACGCTAGGTATGTATCATGCCTAAGGGGGTGGAGGACTATATGTCGCCGAAAAAGGGCGGTCCCCGCGGTCATTTGCGACAAATACGCACCCCTGTACATGCGCGGACATGCGTTCCTGCAGGGAATCCGCGCGGGACTCTTCCAAATTCGGCGACATATAGTCCTCCACCCCCTAAGGGGGTGGAGGACTATATGTCGCCGAAAAAGGGCGGTCCCCGCGGTCATTTGCGACAAATACGCACCCCTGTACATGCGCGGACATGCGTTCCTGCAGGGAATCCGCGCGGGACTCTTCCAAATTCGGCGACATATAGTCCTCCACCCCTAAGGTAGGTGCCAGAGTAAGCGAATATTTTGTTCAGGTTGGGGTCCCGCGCAGAGTTGACGTCACTTGGATTGATGCCAGCATGATGAGAGACGTCAATTCTGCGCCCATATTTGGTCCGCTTGATCCGCTCATCACCCACACACTTTCGCCCCTGACACTCGTGGACGCAGCCATCGACGAGACCAAGAAGATCGTGGACGTCTGAAGCAACGGACAGAGATCAATGGCAACTTCTGCACGTCACGTTGAATGGACGGGCCATCTAAGTATCTAAGTAAGTAAGTACGATCCGCTCATCCACTCTGCTATTGGTCTCGCAAGCTAACCAATGGCGAAGTAGATCAAGCGGAACGAACTGAACATCCGCTTAGCTATTGGTCACTTCAGTGATGTGACCAATAGCGAAGTGCATAAAGCGGATCAAGCGGATCAAGTATGGCAGTCGAAGGGGACCCATGTACAGTCAAGTATGGTCTCATCCCCAAGAGTTGTTCTCATATGAATCATCAACGTGGCTGTCTTTCGGTCTTTTAGCATGTCAACTTCGATTAAGCGCCTCAAACTTGCTGAAGTTAACGTGTTAAGACGATCGAAAGGCATCCACGTTGATATTCATGAAACAATTCTAGGAAATGCACGATAGATTACCCGGTAAGTATAGAGCGGCAGAGGCGAAGCACTTGCGCGTGAATAATTGCCGCAGAGCGAGAACTTCCAGGAATCGTCCCATCCACAGTTGTTGCCACCTTTGGTCTGCGTCTCTGACCTGCGTCACCCGCGCTTAACGTGTTGGCAACATGCAACAAGTTCGCAACATGCAAGAACATGTCCGCAAAAGATTTTGACTGTTGGCCTTGAAGGCACCATCCACCCAAAATGTGGTCGATGAGATTTTGATGTCTAACAGTAGTGTGGCTCCCAGCTGTATACTCGCCCAAGTCGAGCTGCCGGAAGTTGCTTTTGCAGGAGAAAATTGCTTCAAAGATCGCTTTGGATGACGGATTCGCCACGTTGACTCCTCCCCTTTGAGTAGGCGTGACGTTCGTCCCGCCCAATTGGGCGCACCTAACCAATCACCGTTTCGCACAACTCCCCCTGCGGGTTGTCCGAAACGGGGTTTGTCGGGGTCGCGGATTCTTCATGAAGGATTACGGCAGGAACTTCGAAGAGAAGGCTAGACCTTCGAAGAGAAGAGGTTTCTAAGCCATTAAGAGTCGCGTTTTGCCTCAGAAAGGAACCGAAAGTCAAGATCTCGCACTATGCTAATCAAATCGATGTCCAATATGAAATTTGACCTCACCTTCTAGGTTCTTCAGAAGTTTGCTTATACCCCTGGAAGAGAAAACTTGTAAAAAGTTGAACAATGACATCAACATGCGCGAGGACCTGCTATACAGCTTTTCAGACCATTTGTTCTTTTTAATCAAACGACCTATTCCAGCGGCGCTGTGTGCTGAAAGTCTGTGCCACAATCATCCTAACAAAGCGCGATAGATATTTCGCTCAGGCAAGCTCTCTCAGACAACGTATAGGACCCCTCCGGCGGAGAAATGGCAGGGCCGCGGGATTTCCCCAGCGGTGGGTCTGCCACTCGTCCGCCGGAGCCCTCCCATTTTTGCTCCGGAGACCTCCCATTTCTGCTCCGGAGCCCTCCCATTTTGTGCTCCGGAGACCTCCCATTTGTGCTCCGGACCCCTCCGATTTTCTCCGGCGCGGCTCTGCCAAATCTGGCGTACCTCCGGAGCAGAAACGGCGTACCTTTGCAGCAGGGCCGGAGAAGGGTCCCACTTGTCTGCCAGTGATGTCACCACGACCTACAAGAAGGGACCGCCCAATCGCCCCGCTCTCATTGGTCAACTGGGTCCGGCGCGACTCTGGCAGATTCCGACTGTCCGGCGGAGGGGTCCGGTCGATTGTCTGAGCTACTGAATGATGCGCAAAGATCGGCGAAAGACGGAGAAGAAAAACAAACGGTGTGCACATTTTCTGGGACAACGTGATCAAGGAATGAAGCGATGGCTGCCAAAAGTTATGGGCTATGAAAACTTGGTAAGAACTGTTACAGACAGCTAGCTGGCAGTGGCGTACCCAAAATTTCGTTTCGGGCAGGAGGGGGAGGGGTAAGAACTATTTTCTGTGTGGAGGTCCGTGACGTTAGCTACGCACTCCGAAAAATTTTGTGATGTTTCCGAAAATTTGTGCAGGCCCATGACACCACATTTTTAGGTGGCGGCACGCCCCAAACTCTTTTGTACAAAGCTGATTTGAATTTTTAAGAAATTGTTTTCATTATTTAGGCGTAAAAACAAACCACTTGCACATTTTCATAAGCCATGCAAGTAACTTTCGAAAGTTTTGCGACCCGTTCTCGGCCTACCCCCCCCCCCCTTCGGTACGCCATTGCTAGCTGGATATGACTAGTGTGTAGATCAAGTAAAAGTCGGTTGGCCACATCTTGGCGGAAGACGTGATCAATCACACACAGTGATAACATTTGGATAGAAACAATTCAGAGTACAAATCCTTGGCTTTGACGAGATTCGACACATCTGCATAGCTTTCGATGTGTAACTGCCAAAAGTGAAGAAGACTAAACTCTTTCAAAAAGTGACAGCATCATGGACAAGCCATTTGAAATGAGAAATAACCTCCATGTTCCTGGCAAAACATTTATTTGAAAGAATTATCATGCGTAAAGCCCAAACTGATATAAGGATAAAACCTGGTAAAACAACTATTCACAGGAATCAATTCACAGGAAGAGTCATACAAACACTCTCTAAAACTCAAACGAAAAGCTAAAACATTATTCACAGAACAAAATTCACAGAGCTGCTTCAACAGAAATGGATACAGTCAACTAGGATCAATGCAGAGTGGAAGTTCAACTCTAACAAAACGTGCTATGCATGGAACAGCAGCTAGATTACGCAGTGAGCGCTAAGGATCAAATTTTACATCGACTTAGGAAGCTCATACAACAGGAATTAAAATGCTCAAAGCAACTGTTTAGGAACTATGTACAATTTCCTATGTACAACTGATATATCCGAAATAAGCAAATAATAAAACAACAGCTTTGCTCTACAATAAGCTTTTTTTAACAGCAACAAAACATCTTATTTTTAGAGAAATACGTCATTCTCTGGATTGAAATACTAAATAGTACATGCATATCGATAGAGGATGTAAAGATTACTGTCACTATAATCAACAAGCAGTATCACAATATAAACTCAAACTCTCTAAATGGGTGGCTTGTTGTTAATAACCGCAGGTATAAAACACGAAGGGGAATAAAGTGCGCTGTATGCATGGAACAGAGTGGTATAAAGGTAATTAACTAACAATAGATAACTCTGAAAACAGCAGATTTATTAGTGGTAGTTCTAACTCATATGTAGGAGCCGCGCCAAGTTTGAAAAAGCGGCTTTGGGAGGATCCAGCTAGTGACCTGAAAATTGGATTATCGTTACAACACTGGCGAGAATTTAACATGAATAGAACAGCTTCCTCCCGAGGGCATTGCTGATCAACATATAAATGCCGAATCCATCTGGACATTAGCTATCAAGAGTGATAACTGGCTTGAAGCATGCATAGAGCAGTCAGTCATTAGACGATCTTAAAGGCAGTGTCCGGGCAAAAACTCGATTTTGAGATTTTGTGCTTACCCGGGCCTTTTCGCTATGCTGAATCCGAAAATCCACATTGGAGAGCGCGAAAACGACGAAAAAGGGCCCTAACACAGGAGGGAAATCAGCAGGTGGGCGGGGCTTTCCCCAGTGCGATTTCACGCTCCTGGCTCCCAGAGCGGTTTTCTCGATTCCGCTAGCCGTCCTAACATCGCTACCGGTCAAGTGCGAATGGTTGACTTGAAACCGGAAGCGAGAAGGTCGCTCCTGAAGCCGGGAACGTGAATTCGCAGTGGGGAGGGCCCCGCCCACCTGCTAATTTCCTTCCTGTGTTAGAGCCGTTTTTCGCCATTTTCGCGCTCTACAATGTGAATTTTCGGATTCAGCGTAGCGAATAGGCCCAAGTAAGCACAAAATCTCAAAATCGACTTTTTGCCCGGACACTGCCTTTAAAGGCACCGTCCACCCAAAATGGACGTTGGCGAGATTATGATGGCATACTAGTGTGGGCCCCATACTAGACAAACCTCCAAGCTTCGCCGCAAAAGACCGCTTCTGGAGCGAGAAATCCTCTCCGGAAGTAGCAATGCGGGCGGGGCGATCCCGGTCGCCCCGCCCACTTGCATGCTTTATCTCGCCTGCGCTTGCTGCAGAGGGTTCCCGAAACAGGAATTTTTGGGGGTTTCGCGGATTTTCGACTCCATATTCGGAATCAGGGCTTTCAAAAGGCCTGAAGTCGACAAAAACATTGAATTCGAGATTTTGGGTGGACGGTGCCAACTCTGTGTCACAGAGTTGCATTCTGCGCTGGCTATTATACTCCACACCAGTCGTCCTCTTTATTGGAATTTCCATAGCAATGATTCAAGTAAGAACAGCCAAAACCATGGAAGAATTGCTAAGTGTCACTCAGCAGAGAATCAGAAATTCATCACACTTACACACACTTGTGCTGATTGGGCACACGCCATATCCAATTCACTTGATTCGCTTGCTCCAGTATATCTACTTTGCAACTGTTCAGATTAGTGAAGTGACCAGAAGAAGATGCCCACTCGATCCGCTAGATCCAGTTGGCTATTGGTCAGGTATATGACCAATACCGAGCTGGATGAAGTGGATCAAGGGGATCAAGAGAATCAAGTATGGCGTAAGCCTCAGAGCAGAATTCCTTTGAGCTAAGGCACCAATGCTAGAATTTTATATGATTGTATTTGTTTTACAACAGATCCGATAACAAACGATATGGTTGTCGGATAACCAGAACAGATTTCGCAGTCGTTGCACCGTTTGCTACAGTGCGCCTACCCCGGGAGACGGTCAAGAGGCGCGATTTTTCTGGCTGTCACCAACTTAGAATCCATTTCTGTACTACGCGAATTTTCAAAAAATTCCAGACAAAGTCTGTTAGCTCACTAGATGTTCGAAGTTACCATCTTCCAAGTTTCACGACTTTTGGTGCAAAAATGAGCGAAATATTTACGAAATTGCCATTATTTGCGTTTTCATGAATTTTGACCTCCAATGCTTCTGTTTTGGATCTTTTTTGAGACGATAGGATCAGAAACCCTATGTAACGATCTTGTATAATCTCTCAGGAATTTGAAAGGCCCCTAGAACATTATTAAACACTAAAGTGTGCAATCTGATGTCCAGCTGGCAATAAAAAACGCGCCTCTTGACATACACCCGCCTACCCCGCCTAACAGGTTGTTCGTGCCGGGACCGCAACGCACTGTTTTCGAAGCCGTGTTGATCATCTCGTCCCTGGTTGGAGATTGCATTTGAGTAGTTATTGCAGTTTGACTCTGTGGTTCACTCGGCAGAGCATTAGGATCAATACGTCAAGTATTTGGAAGAAGGGAAAGTACGCATTCCGACCCACAATTTGCATTTAAACGTAATTACCCTAAGCTCAACTGACTACAGTCACTGTCGCACTTGTTTTCCCATCAAATGTAGAATGGATCAGTTGAGGTTTCTATATATTACGCATAGAAACTGCACAGACCCGTTTAGGTGGATGATACTTCTCGGAAATCAAAAAATAGCTGTTATTCTGTTTATTTGCTATTTGAAGCATCTTCTGGAAACTGGTAAATGGTGTTGGTAAGAGCCAGAGACGAATGTCGCACTAAGGATGTTTGGAGTTTTGCCATTCTTGATGAGTTGTTGAGTTGTACATCATCACCTTGATAGGTGTTGGAAGCTATATTTTACCATATAACCTAGTATAGTTTACCTACTTTCTTCTTCATGGAGGAGTGACGGCATGAATCTGAATCTTATACTGTGTATAGCTTGAGAACTCAAGATAGTGTGACAGCTTAACTATTGCTAACGCCTTTCCATCCACTGACACTGAGCTCATGCCAAAGAACACTCTAAGGCAACAACTTTAGGAACTGTTTTCGTAGCAAGCCGCTATTTGCTGGCAGGACCATCGCGCATTACGAACTTCAAAAAGAACCTGCGGTGCAAGCTGCACCCATAATCACTGCCACTCTGCAGCGTTTTCTCTTCGTATTTTGTCACCATTTGTACATAAGGCTGCATCCGAAGGGAAGCATTATTCGTTCGGATTTCGGTGCTGACTTAACTTACAGTATAAACGTAATGCGACCGCAAAAGGTGTCCCCTCTTACTTTTTTAATCTTACTAATTCCATAAAGTGGTTCTGGAATTGTATGATGTGCATAACACATCGATATTCAAGTTGTACTCAGTGACTAATAGCCGGTAGATAGTACACTGACTAGCTAGCATCGCAGTCTTAGAGCTTATGATAGGATTGGGAAGTGAAGTGTATGGAGGTAAGAAATACCAATAATCATGTTTACTTTTCATTTATCACTCATTTATTACAACCAGACCAAAGTGCCGCTTCGCGGCACTTTGGTCTGGTAAGTGGGTGGGAGCAATGCTTCGAAGCGGTGCTGTCTTTATTGGATGTTTCATTTACATCGTATCTATATCAAAAGGAATCGTATCTGCTATAGATTAGATGAGAACGCTTTTTAACAAAATGTCTATGGTTCAAATGAATTAGGGTTTGTAATCAATTCGATGCAACATTGATAATTCTCATTCGGGAAGAACTTAGTGCTTACATTCCTGGGCTTTCAAATGAGTAGGATTATTACTGTAGAGATGTCCTAAAAAGTTTGTACTCGCAAAAACTTAGCTGTCCTAAGTAAAAGAGAACGTATCTGTTTTTTGAGAGAAGTTATGCGAAATCCGATCAGCTCACGAATTCCTGGCGTTTTTGAAGCATGATAGAAGACGGAGCTGTGGTCTCAGCATTGAATAATTAGTCAGCGGACCGAGTCCGCTTTTGAAGAGTTTTTGAAACTTGCAGTCTTTTTTGCATATGACTTGGTCAAAATTTCGTTTTCGACTAAGCTCGAGTTCGTCATATCATAGAGTCTGTCTCAGTCTTAATCAGTCGATCGGGAGGGAGTCCGTTTCATGAGGGTATTGCGTCACGTCTACTCTAGCTTGTATCCTCATCTGCGCTCCCTCAAGCATATTCAGTGCAGCGCTACCCCCGAGCACTGCCAGCCGTAAATTTAGCCAACGGTTGGGCCTGATCCCCATTGGGACAAACTGTATGTGATTGTGCGAAATGTGGGCGTGATTATTGCTAGAACTGGTCCGAAAGCTAGAGCTGCTCTATTCATCACTCAGAGTTCTCATGAAATCTGAACGATTTTCATAAATTTTCCAAGTTTGTGCAAAATCCACTGAAAAGCTGCAAAATGTTCTCGCAAGCAGAGCTCGTATAATATCCTTCTGTGGTTGCGGGTTGAGCAGTATGTTTTTCCCAGTTTCTCGCACTAAGTTCTGGAAAACATAGTGCTTTGCGCATATGGATGTTTTGTGAAAGCTCATATGCGGCGCCTCACGGATGACGAGAAACTGAACTCAGGGTAAGCTAAGCCAGTCGTCAATGGTTTGGTGCGCATACTTCTCAAACATCCATGGAATCATCACGCGAGGTCATGTGCAACTTATTGGAAACCTCATCTTCGATCAAAAGGGCAACTTTCCAGACTGTTTACCCTTAGGAGGCGCAGGTGATGAGTCATCAACCCTGTACGCCTGCAACGGCACGCAACGACAGACTTGTTGACGTCTCACGAAGGGGGGGGGGAATGCTTCAAAGAGACACCGTGCGCTTTATTATATAGAGAGATTGAGGGGATTGAAACAACAACAAAAAAAACAGCAGTCGCCCTATAGATGGCGAAAACTCAGACTAGGAGAATGAGATGACCGGAATGTAAGTCTTAGGGAACCTTCGCTACATTGGTACGCTCGTTACCCTAGTAGTAAAACCTTGAAAGAGAGAAAGAACGATGATCCAGGGCTGAAAGTGAGAGAAGAAAACAAAGAACTACGAATATGCCAATTGAGACAACGGTTTTGAAAGCTATAGACTCGGAATCTGCGTATGATACATCACCTGTGTTAGGTGCGAAAAAAAAACTGCGCATGTTTTGACATCCTTGTGGTTCTTGCTACGCCCAGAACGGACATCGGACAAGAACTGATCCTGCATAAGGTTCATCTTAAAGTTCGTGGGTACGCGCTGGTCCCGCCACGACCCTGTTAGGCGCAGGGGGACTGTAGCAAACGGTGCAACGACTACGAAATCTGTTCTGTGTCGGATACTAAGACTGTGTATGAACATGGAGGCGGCATGTGGCAACCCTAAGAGAACGGCCATAGGTTGCCGGCAATTGTTGTCGGTTGTTGTCGCTGTTGTCGGTGTTGTTGGTTGTTGTCGGTGTTGTCGGCGTTGTCGGGGTTGTCGCGTCAGAGACAGTTTAGAGAGCGCGCGAAACGTGGAGGCTATCATGAGGTCCTACAAGGACCGGCAACCTCGGCAACCCCGACAACAACCCACAACATCGACAACAATTGCCGGCAACCTATGGCCGTTCCCTAAAGCATGCCCCGTACATAGCGTAATCATCCCAGAGTTTATCGCCAGTCGGGTTGAGCATTACGCTAGAAGCATTGTGAGCGGAGTGACTTTGTAGAGCCGCAAGTATCGTTAGTTCGCTTTCGCTAAAGTGGGCGGAGCATTGTCCACGTACACGCGAGGCGGCTTTTGATGGCGAGAGAGTACAAAAAACAATGCTCTAGGATGGAGATTTATCAATCGATCAATGTTATGTCATATCTGCAGTGGTCCGCTCACTCTAGCGAAAGCGAACTAACGATAATCAATTCTTCAGGAAATGCAGCTATTGTTATAGTAAGTCAAAACTCTTCTATAGAAAGTACCCTAATTTTCTAGTTACAAAAGCACCATTTTCGCGAGCACTTATGCGAGCAGCTTAGCCGCTTCGTTGGGCTTAACGATCGCATTGCATGATTCGCTCAAATAATGGCAGCACGGTAGTAACCTAGGGTCGCTGAAGTCTTTGATTTTTTTGAGCTGGTCGATCAAAAAATCCTGCGCCTTGTACTCGCGAAATAAGGATGCTACTTACGTTTTCTACCATCGGTTAGCCTGTGAGATTCCATCAATAACGTAAGTATAGACAAATGGAACGATTGAAAAGAGAGCTAACAAGCGCACCTTGTCTACAGTGTTCCCCTTTTTCACTGTGAAAGACTGATGCATGCGTCCAATGGTGAACTCTGCCTCAAAGTGGTCGCATAACTCGCGCAAGCGACGAGCGATAACTTTGGAAGAATTCTTCGCCGATAACTCTGAAACATAAAAAAAGCTTCAAATATTCTCAGGTACGCACATTTGACAAATTTACACTAACTCGATTTATACTTCTCATCCCCCTTCTCGTGGAGACAAGATTGAAAGCTCTTGGATTTCATATTGTCAACGACCACCACATCTGTAATAATGATTCAAACCAAATTTTATCGGTCACTGGTAAGCGGTGAACGACCGAGTTTTTTATAAGCAACCATCTTTAGCGCAGATTAAGCCACCGCAGACTCAAAATTTATATTCAGAAAAGATTACACAGAATTAGTTAAAGCTGTATTTATAGCACCAGACTACTTCACAGACGCCACTCAAGTGGTTTCACTGTCTCTTCCATGAAGAAGGACAAACCATCTAACGCCAAAGATGTATCAGTCGGTCACATAATAAGTAGAAATTCTAACTCTGCAAAACCAGGACGCGTCTAAACTTATCTTATATATAAAGCTGAATGTCTGTCTGTACGTATGTGCGGAATAGAAATTTTTATTTCTGAACCGATCGGGACCAAACTTGGCACACATATACTTCGGGGCAGGGAGCGTGTCATAGGCTACTTTTCGTTATCGATCGATATCGATTTTATCGATTTTTTGCAAAATTTGAGCTAGGGGGCTGGGATTCCCGTAGCTCAAAATTTGCAAAAAAATCGGTGAAATCGACATCGATCGATAACGAAAAGTGGACTATGACACGCTCCCTGCCCCGAAGTGTATGTGTGCAAAGTTTGGCCCCGGGCGGAGCCGGGTTTGCCATCTAGTATATGATAAGGGAACGGCCATAGGTTGTCGGTGTTGTCGGTGTTGCCGAGGTTGCCGGCCGTTGTAGGACCTCATGATAGCCTCCACGTTTCGCGCGCTCTCTAAATTGTCTCTGACCCCGACAACACCGACAACATCGACAACACCGACAACATCGACAAAACCGACAACACCAAGAACACCGACAATCTATGGCCGTTCCCTAAGGAGACTCGCTGTTGTCAGATGACAAATCCGAAATATCAGAAGCAGAAATCAAAGGATTACGCCTTACTAGATTGCAGTAGAATCTAAAAAAAAATGTCTTGCCTTAGTACAAAAATAGTTCTACACTCCCTTCCCTTCACAGGCAGCTTAGCAGCGCTTGAAGGCCTGTGACAGGACTATAATCGAGGCTTCTTTAAAAGAGAGCAGGGAAGTGGGTGTTGTATAGTTTTTGTAGCTGCAAAAATCTGAACACGATGGCCGCTGTGTATTACCTTGTCAACGCAAATAGGGCAAGTGCACAGTCTATCTTCATTGCAGTGTCGGGTGCACCTACGGCTCGGGTCTCGTGCGATCGCCTCCTCCGGCTCGCACCGCGTTTGCGAGCGTGTTCTCCAGCCATTTTTCCACGCTTAACGATTAAGGCCGTATCCCACGACAGGCATGAGAAAATGATCCATAACAAGGGGCGGTCCAAGTAAGATTGTAATATTTAGAACGATAAGGAATGTGAGGAAGAACTTTTTCGTAAACAGAGTCACCCGTGATCTCGATAAGCTTCTGAGAATGCAGATGCTCCCAGTTAAAGCTACTCAGTTTAGAACTGTTCTTAAGAACTATCTGCTTTCGATATCAAACTGCTCGTGACATGTGTTGTTTTGTTTTGTAAATGTTTAGATGCTACTATTTTACCAATTGTTTTTTTTACTATGTTCTTGGTTTCGTTTCAACTACTCCGGCGTTAATTTGTTTTGTTTTGCTTGTCCACATGGGCTTGCCCATGTAACTAAATAAAAAAAATAAAAGAAGACAACACTTTCGCAAACGCGGCACAGGATCCAGGCCAGGCGGCTGTGTGGGGCCCAAGCTGCTGGTGCACCCGGCACTGCAAATGAAATAGCCTGTACAAGTCTAAAACTGATTACCAATTTCAAAAGACGAAGAGCGATGGATCTAGTAAGCTTTTGCAATAATAAGGATGATAACATAGAATTCAGTGTTACCGGACGATTTCAGTGATGAACTGCAATCGGGAGGCGGGAAATTCGATGTCGTTTGGGCTTGCCAGGACATGAGTGTCAGCAATATGCGTGTAGTGTAGCGCAACAGTATGACTGCAATAAAGAATGATTACTGAGGAAAGCATAGACATCTATTCGGGACGATAACGATAAAAAGACTGATGACGATTCGCAGGTGGCGAGGAAGTAACTAGTACGTAAAAGCCGGGCAAACTATGAGGTTAAATCGAACGAATCAGTGACAAACTGATAAGGAAGTTCCCAAACAAACAATCTAGGTTTCCACGAACACTGAAGTGGAAAGTAACCAACTGAAAAGACTGCGCCGCCACGTTTCAAGAGAAAGCCACGGTGGATGATAGTGGGCGATCAAACTGAGATCGATATTGCGTCATTGTACAAGCTGAAGGGTCTGTAGCTTTCATAATCTAGACGGCTGTTTGGTAATCCACTGCCCTAGCGGTGTCGAGAAAACGCCGTTGCGAGAAAGATGCTTTATAGAAGACGGCTTGCACCAACCTTCCTTCCCATGGGCGGGTGGGGGAACGAAAGCCGCCAGGTCCAGCCGCCTCCGCGGACTGCTGGTCCTGGAACGACATGCAACAACGCTGCGAAAGGACCAGCTGGCCGCGAAAGGCGGCTGGACCTGGCGGCTTTCGTTCCCCCACCCCCCATGGGCTATCAACTGCAAGTATCCCCTAGGACTTAGAGTGCGCATGTCGCATGCGGCGGGAAGTCGTGGGACCTCCCTATCAATACACGTTCTTCAATGAGGGGTGGAGGACTATATGTCGCCGAATGTTGAAGAGTCCCGCGCGGATTTCCTGCAGGAGCATGTTCGCGCATAGAGTACAAGGGCGCGTACTTGTCGCAAAGACCGCGGAGACCGCCCTTTCCCTGCGACATATATAGTCCCCTACCCTTCAATAAGCACGCGCCATACTCGATCCGCTTGCCTCTTCGTGAATGATCAATTCAGTGAATTGACCAATAGCGAAGTGGATGAAACGGATCAAGCGATCAAGTGGATAACCGCTTCGCTATTGGGGAGCTCATTAAATAAAGCAATGATGAAGCGAATCAAGCGGATCAAGTGAATTGACTGGATAGAGTAAGCGCGTCATTGAGTCGTGGCTTTACTATCACCGTTCGTTGACCGCACAGACTGCTCAGTTGCGGACCGTGTGAGGCGCTGCTGAACTGTTGCGACTTGTACAAGGGTAGGGAACGAACCCCACCAGTTTGACCCAGCCTTCGCTGGCAACTGGTCCTATCGCAGTATTGTTGCATGTCCTGCAGGACCAGTAGTTCGCGAAGGCGGTTCAAACCTAGCGGAGTTCGTTCCCATAACGTTCTACAATGGCGACTTTGCACTGGGTCAAACGTTTTACCCCGCGCGGCGTGCTCCGCAATCCAGTCCGTGCGGTCAACGAATCGGCGATACGGGGTAGAGGAACGAACGCCTCAACTAGGCATCGCCTCCGCGGACCGCTGGTCCAACACGATGCACAACAGAAGGACGAAAGGACCAGCAGCCCGCGGAGATGATGCCTAATTGAGGCGTTCGTTCCTCTACCCGGCGGCGATACGCAGGGAGTGGGGATCACGCGTGTTACGATAATGTAGGTCCCGCAACTCTGCGTTTGGCCTTGGGCAGAGTTCTCGCGATTTTCATCGCCGCGACTCTTCCAACAAAACAACCAGTTACGAGTCTACTGCATGCCGATCATCGTGCATTTCTGTGATAGTTCTCAACACGACCAATCGTGGCTAACTATAACAACCGAAATGCAAGATGATCGGGATGCAATGGACTCATAACTGTTTGTCTTGTTGGAAAAATTGCGGCGAGAAATCGCGTGAACTTTGCCCGAGGCCTTTGTTGAAATAGCCCGGACACTGCCTTTAAAGAATTCTCGCAATCAGCTCAACCAGCAGGTCTAACCTCACTTTCAACGTTCGCTTAAATCGCTATTCTTATCAAACTTCAATAGTACTGGGACTATATTCAAATTCCCATTCATTACATGCTTCGAGAGATCCCAGAGCTCGTTTCCTAGCTGCTTAGTTGGGGGACACTAGATAATACCTCAAAGAAAGTTTTTTCTTCGAACTTTTCACGTTTCTACGGAATGGGTCGTGGATGTGGGAAGAACATCAGGATGGAAAGTATACATTTTCTTCAACAAGCGCATATCAGTACAGCTTATCCAAGTTATATACCAGCAACGCTAATATTATTGTCATGTCTCTATCATATAGCGGATGAGGTTGTATGGACCTCAGTCAAAAAAGTCTTCAGAATAGAAATCACGGGAGAAACCTCTAATGTGAGAGAGGCAAAGCAGCCAGCAAATTTTCAAAATTGTCGAAAATCTTCACGGGACCGTTTGGTTCAGGCGTATCTACTCCAATATGAAGTTATCGTATTTGGGAAGGAGCTGACAAAAAATATCATTTGCATTCTGCACATAGTTATCAAGCCTCCACAGAAACTATTCTTATGGGATTTGGCGTTCATGCCAGTTAAGTAGATACATATTTTATTTTACTTCATTTCATAAAATGCATTCACTGATCTGCTTTAACAAAAGTGAACGTTATTATAAAAAGGGGTAACATAAAGTCAGGATAGAAAATCGAAAAGCGCATGCGTCTCCGGTGGTCTAACTGACTTTATTGTTCTCGCATTTGCTGTCAAGAATATACTGTGAGAGTTTATAGACAACTAGTTGACTTACCAGGCTCCGCCCGGCCCTGTCATTATTATATTCGTAATCAGCATGCTCGATTACCCCCCTGTGCCAACTCCCAGCCCCGTAGCTCAAATTTTGCAAAAAAATCGATAAAATCGATATCGATCGATACGAAAAGTAGCCTATGACACCCGCCGGGGCCCGAAGTGTATGTGTGCCAAGTTTGGTCCGGATCGGTTCAGAAATGGAATTTTCTATTCGGAACATACGTACACACAGACATACATACAGACAGACAGACAAACAGACATTCAGCTTTATATATAAGATGGACACCATCCAGTAATTGCTACAGTCGAGTAGATTTAGTGGTAAATATAGTGTGCTTGCACAGAAGGTGAAATGCGGTGAAATTTGCGCGTGAACAAGTAGCCACGTCAGTACCGCGGGTATTTGCGCGCGCAATTGCCCCCCCCCCCCCCCGTCACAGTCGAAACTATCTCTTCACGCGCCAATTTCACCGCATTTCACATTTTGTGCAAGCACACTATATTTACCGCTAAATCTACTCGACTGTACTTGCTGGTGGTGTTAGCTAGGAGAAGATGAGAAATAAATGGAAAGCATTGTTTTCGTTCGTGAGCTTTTTCGAAAATGGGATCTTCAGATTTTGAATTCAAATTCGTAATCTGGTTGAAACCACTGAAATTTCCTAGGGCTCTCTCAAGCTCTCCTAAGGAATGACGTGTAGCTGCATAAAATGCTGGTTTAGGAAACATACGATTGAGTTGGTGAAGGTGTTTTAGAGCCTGGAAAACCTCAAACACACCAGGGGTTCAATGTTTTGATCATGATAAAAGTTTCAGAGAAACGCAAAAGTTGGAAAAAATCACGATTAGAGCTTAGAGCAATAAAGCTAGAAGTTGAGTCCTATGGCGCAATCCGGAAAAATAGTCACTTATAAAGGGCTGATCACTGTGAGCAAGGTTAGATGTCTAGTCAGATAGCGGTGCAAATGGCAAGGATTACCGAAAACAAAAGAACGACTGACCTAGTTTAAAAACTGATAGGCATCTGGGATTGTGAAAGATCAGTTCGAAAACAAGGAATGACTAGCTAGTATATTTTTTTGTGCGCTTGATTACGTCTGGTAGTACACAAAATTGTACTTTCGCACAATGAGGAGTCTTTTCTACATGTAACATAATCTTTTTGCATCTTAAAGTTCCAGATGAGTGCAAGACAATAAATCCCAAAGCCGTTGCAGAATAAACTTCAATTTGCAATGTTGTTATCGCTGTTGGAGTCGTGCAAGTGTATGGTTTAAGTAGATAAGTTTATTTAAATATAATTTTGATTAGGATGAAGTGTTGTATCGGTGATTTGAGCAGTACTGGACAAACAAGCTGCATTTCAATGCAATACCTAAAATTTTGAGTTTTCGGATTCCTGTACTCCAATGTGCTGAACACATGGCAGAAAATAAATCAAGAATAAAGTCTTCTTTGATCTAAAGCTTGTAATGAAGACCCCGGGCTTTGGTGCGGCGCCTTGTGAGTTACAAAAATGGGCAAGTGACTCGTTCATAACTAAAATTAAAATTCTTTAAGATATTTGTTTAGCTTCATACTTTCTAGAAAGTGGCGCGCCACGCTCCCTTTTCCTTTTCGGGGTTATGGGCCCGCGAAAATTTTGGGAAGCATACCAAAAATCTTCAAATCCTTCATCAGAAAATTTTTTTGTCCCCCTCACCCGAACAAAAATCATGGGTACGCTGTCGGCGGTTCAAACAAACAAGTCCGAATCTGATTTTAGTGTATGAGATGTCGTAGATCCTCCTTTCATCATAGTCATCGAATTTGTGACCTTTCTGTCTACCTTGAAGCTCAGTAGGGCTTTTTGTTCAGACCACCCACGTTGATGGGCGGAGCCAGCCTGGTCACTTCCACCTTCTGGAGCGGCTTTTTTCCTTTTGAAAATCATTTTTTGCAGAGAGACTTCGGCGATTGCTTAGTTAGAGGTCTCGCTGCTACGATCACATCTCACCACCCTCAGTCTGGACGGATGGTGCTTTAACGTTTTGATTCTGCATTCGAGAGTTTGCTCAAATGTGGATCCTGAACGTGGAGTACAGATTGTTAAAAAAGTCTTGTAGCCTAATTTTGGACTGCTCTAACTCAACAATCACTGCTGATTTTGACCACAAAATACCACAGAATCCTCCAATCATTCTTCGTAAGCTACATCCTTGGGGGTAAAAAATGATCTTCATGTTTGACTGAAAAAAATAAAATTATCAAACCATTTCTACCTCAAAACGCAAAAAGCTATTTCCTAAAAGTTTAAAATTTATTCCGCTACTGCAAAAATTTGGCACAGCGCGGTGCAAATTTATATCCACAATATAGAGGAGGCTTTGCACTACTATCACTATAATGGCTGCATTTGAAAATCTATTTCGTCAAGAGAGGCGAGAAAAAACCTGGAAATTTTCAACGCGTGCCACTGCAACTATGTCTTTGAAATTAGTTTCAAATCTGTAGAATTGCAGCAGGCCCGGAATTTGGAGTTATATCCTCTTCGCATGTTTTCTAGATGGGAATCTAATGCAACACGGATGACGAATTTGGTTTTGAAACACGTTGTAGCCGATTTTCTGTTTTCATTTTCCGCAAATGTGTCC